GATGCATCTAAATCCTTAAACCCACACAGCTGGTTGAAGATGCAGTTTCAAGAATTTAGACTCAAACACCTTCCATCCATCCATAGTAGTAGACTGTTGTATTTAAAATAATCCTGAGGGTACATGGACATCGTCAAACACTGCATTTTGTGTATGCCTATTATTCTTCAAGTGTAACGGGGTGTGGTCTATCTTCTTACGGCACTGTTCAGATTCAGTTTTGTTTTCCTTAAGGATTCAGGTCACTTTCCTGTTCGGAGTTTCCTTGTTCAGTGTAGCATGAGTGTGAGGGAAATGGATTGGAATGAAGTATGACAGGTACTCTTTGGTTTCTTCCTTCTAGTAGCTGTAGCAGGAACATTTCTCATAGAGCCAACAAAAGTCAAATAGGCAAATACATTCACCCACGGACAAGATATACTGGTTATTACTAATGATTTGGAGCTCAGATACAACATGTTAATTATCAATAATTTGGGACATGGGAAACTATTTTTTAAAAGGGCAGAATCCTCAATAGAGTAGAAGCTAACAGAAAGCACTGGTCTAGAGTTGGCTAGTAAGCCAAAAGTTTAAACTGGTACTGATGAATAAACTGGGGTTATGTATTTTGTTTTTGTCCTTTTTCCCAGGATGAGAACGATGAAGGAAATTTTCTACCCACTTCCCAAATACCAGAGTTGTTGTTTTTTTCATTTTAAGGAAAGAAGAAAACAACTTAGCCACTCTAACACCGTTATTACTTTAATTATATTCTTTTAATAGTTTATAGGGGATTTTTTTTTTACATTATGGATGCAAAGAAAAATCAATAGTTCTAAGGAAGCCAAAAGTTAAGATGGCTTCCTTTGCCTCCTTATTAGTGCTCCAGGATTTCCAATGCCAACACCATGACTTTTAGTATCTAGTTTAAAATATAAAACAGCAGCTACTCAGTTTTAGATGCAAACGATACCTTCATTAGCAACAATTAATGTAAAGGCAGGTGGCAAACCTCCAGCTCCCTGATATCTAGAACACACTCCACTTAACTTTTTTAAAAACACAGAACAAAGAGAGGAAAAGCTGGAATTGATTTAGTTTTAAGTACTTGGCCAAATATTTTTCTAAAAGCCACCAGAAAAAAAATCCACAACTGTTGTAAGTTGCTAAAATATATTGGAATACTGGTTGAACCTCTCAACGGGGACTCCCTGGTCTGGCAACATTCTGTGGTCTGGTAGGACCACAGATGTTGCTGGACCACAGAGACCCAGAGGCAGGAGGCCCATGGGGGCAGCTGTTTGCAGGGAGGCCAACAGCTAGGAGCCCTGCCACGGGAGTCCGGCTGAGCTGGTGGCAGGACAGCTGGAACGCCAGTAGGCTCCATCAGGACAGCAGTCTTCAAATAGTGGGGCCTGGAGCCCAGCAGCAGGACCACAGGGCTACCACAGTAGGGCTGGCAGAGCCAGGAGCACCAGTGGCAGGGTGGTGGTTTCCATGGTGTTGCTGAAAGCCCAGCAACGGGACTGTGGGCTGCCGTCGCAGGGCAGCGGAGCTGGTCACAAGTGAGGAGCCGGCTGGAAGGCCAAGCAAGGAGTGGAGCTGGGCTGGGGGGTCAGTGGCAGGGGAGCCAGAAATGACCTCCCCTGGTCCAGCAAAATCCCTCCTTCGGGACTACTCAGGTTCCAAGGATGCCAGGGCAGGGAGGTCCAACCTGTACTCTGTATTATGTAGGACTTGACTGAAAAATTGATGTTTAATGAGCAAGAGTCTTCATTTTATTACTTTTTGCTTAAAAATATCTTTGGTTAATGAGATTTGTTCAAAGAGTAAGAGAAAATTAACAAAACAATTATGAAAGAAAAATGGAAACGTTATAAAAAACGACAGTCAGATCTAATCCTGCAATTAACTCAGCACATACAGATCCATGTATCCATGGACTTGTGGTTTCAATGGGACTCTATTTGGGGCAGTGGCTTGCTCATAAGAAATTGTCATGGGTGTGGGCCCTTTCCCAGCACTGCCAGAGCTTTAGGAAACTATACCTGCTTCATCTAAAAGAAATGCCAGGGAAGTGACTCAGTCTTTTTGCTATAATAGGTGTGCCTGTTGCTCCTTATATAGAAACTAACTTCAGCAGTTACACAGTACGTTGCCTTTACACAGTTTCATTAGTGAGGAAACGACAGGCTAACTGAACAGCTTTGTTTATAAATCACACGCTACCACGGACATTACTGAAAGTCACCATCAACAAAGCTACTCCTGTGAGAGAATATTAAGGCACCCAGAACCCTGGCAGGATACAGCCGTGTAATAATGGCCAATAAAAGAACTGTAAATGATGTAATTCATAGTAGAAATAAAAATTCATAGGTAATACTTAGTATGTGGCATTCCATTATTACTTTTACTGCACCCAAGAGCATGTCAGATGCTTTACAGAACACAGAGAAAGACAAAAAACAGGACTATGTAGCACTTTAAAGACTAACAAGATGGTTTATTAGGTGATGAGCTTTCATGGGCCAGATTAACCATCTTGTTAGTCTTTATAGTCCTGTTTTTTGTTTCAGCTACACTAGACTAACACGGCTGCATTTCTATCACTATTCTACAGAGAAAGACAAGGCCTTCTTAGGCTATGTATACACTATGAGTTTTCCTCAGCAAAAAATATGCTAACGAGGGACTCATTTGCATGAGTCGCAATCTCATTTGCATAATTTCTGCCGATCCGTTTTTGCGCTAGGGTTTTTGTGCCAAAACAAGCAGTGTGGACGTTTTCTTTTTGTGCAAAAAGCCTTTTTCTGCAAGATCGGTTGGGGGTATACTGATCTTGCCGAAAAAGGGGTTTTTGCGCAAAAAGAAAACATCCACACTGCTTGTTTTGGCACAAAAACCCTAGCGCAAAAACGGATCGGCAGAAATTATGCAAATGAGATTGCGACTCATGCAAATGAGTCCCTCATTAGCATATTTTTTCCCGAGAAAACTCAGTGTAGACGTAGCCGTAGGGAAATTTTACAATCTTGAAGGGTAATAAACTCAAAGGGATGAAAATAAAGACCATTAGATATCTAAAACCAAATTTAAAAGGCTAATTAGAGCAACAACTACGTATTACCCAGAACCAAAATAGAATATGCTCCTCTACTTGCTTCTAAACATGCCAGGATAAAAAATGATTACTGATCTTATTGCATATTTTAGAAATGTGCATCTGTCTGTGAGTCAGTTTGTTCAAGAACTTCTCCTAAATGTAAGAGCTAGGGCCACCAAATTTGGCATGCTGCTAACTCCATAAGTTAAAAGCAAGGTCTGGGTTTGAGTATGGCAGGACAATGGGGTGTGCCTGGAATTCAATTTTTTCTCATAAAATGGAAAGGGAGGGGACTTACTGGGAGGGATAGGTGTACTGCAGAATGATCACAGCAGAGCAGCAAGGGGCCAGAAATGGGACCAGGACATCTATAACTCCATCGGGCCAGCAAGTTGCAGGGGTGGAGAAAGGGACAGCTATCTACTATATAATTCAGAGGGTCTGTCTGTCTGTGTGCCTGGGTCTGTCTGTGGACAGGTGCTTTTCATCTCCCCCAAGCTGCTTTGGTGAGAGGGGGTTGGCATTATCCTCTCTCCCTGGGCAGCCTGTATACTGAACCCCTGACTCCCATCCCCATGCCAAAGCATTGATTTAAATGAAGAAAAACAAAACTTATTTGAGTTAAGGACCCAAGCAATGCTGGGTAAATCTTGTATTGCTAAATATGTCATGCAAGAAACTGCTGCAAAATCAAACGACAAAAGTTTCATACAGCAGGTTTTATTTTACATTACAAAATGACTACATGTCCACATGAACCGTGACCTCTGAGAAACCTACAGTGATTTTGACAGACTGCCAGGGCTCACAGAGCATTCAACATTTTACAAAAGAGTCCCTGCAAAAGGCAGGACACGAATTTTAAAACGAAAGGTCATTGCAAGCAGCTTAAAAGCTTAGTTGTCGAGACCACTGGTAGTTCAGTCTTTACCATGTATTTACCAGGCACACACTAACAATAATTCTGTTTGCTAAAGTGTCTGCTTTAAAACAGACTCTTTGGCCAAATATTTTAGTTAAACAAAACTAGCAGCAGTTATTGATAAGGTACCTTTACTTTTGAGCACAGTATCTTTATTAAACATAGAGACTAACTGTCACTGCTGATTGCATTAATTTCTTTGGGATTTTTTCTTTTCCATAAGTTTCCAGTTACAATCCCTATGAAAAGTAGAAGTCCTACTGTGCGGTTAGAGGTAAACTTCTTCCAACAGTCTTCAGATTTGTGTATGTCCAAAGTGTAAATCTGTGAAAGGACAGCACAATGCTCTATTATTATCTATAGTACCACAAGCATGCCAGACACTTTCACACAAATAGGTCATTGCCTCAAAAAAAATTTATAGAGATCCACACAGGCAAACTTCAGGCATAGAACTGGGTTATGTACAGGCACAGGGGTATGTGTAAATGAACTACAAATGGATGAAGATATAATATGTACCAGAAAGGTATGGAGAATGAACAGGTATGAATAGTAAGGGCCAGTTTTTAAAGGTATTTAAGCACCAAAAGGTACAGACAAGAGATACACAGTGTGCTGTCCGTACCCTTAGTTGCTTAAATATCTTTAAAAAATCTGGCTCGAAGATCCAACACAAACACACAAAGGATAGAAGAATCCAGAGGAATGGGGTTCTTAAATTGTCATCCACAGAAAAACCAGAAGACAGCTGAAAAAAGAGCTAGAAATAAGGATTAGCTGGCCTAGCTAACTCCACTGGGGGTCACAGCTGCACAGAATGAGGAGAGAAAACATGACCTGCCAGTGGGATGTTCAAGGTCCAAAACAAGATGACAACCTAGCAACAGAGAACCACAAGCAAAAGGATGGCATGTAGGAAAAGAAGAAGGGATTAAATTGATCAGACAGTTAAATATCTAAATAGCTTAGTAATATCACTTGTGTTTAGGCATGTGTAGACACTGGGGGTGTGTGTAGACTACAGGGTTTTTTCAAAAAAAACTTCACCTGCGTCTAGACTGCATCCACGTTCTTTCGAAAGTAAATCGAAAGAGCGCAGGAGTTTTTTTGATCGTGGTAAACCTTATTTTACGAGGAATAACGCTTTTTTTTTTAAAGTACTCTTTCGAAAAAGGCGCTATTGAATGCAAACTGTGCTTTTTCAAAAAAGAATGTCTAGACTCTCTTTCGAAAAAGTGGCTTGTTTTTTCAAAAAGTCTACTTGTAGTCTAGACCAGTGGTCCCCAATGTTTTGGGGCTGCCGGGCGCCTGGGGGCGGGACTGCTCACGTGCTGGGCATACAGGGGCAGAGCCGCTCACAGGCCATGTGACTGGGGGCGGGGCCAAGCATGCACCGCATGCCCAGGGCCGGCACCGGCATGTGCCGCAACCCCGGGCAGGGGCTGCCCAGGCGCTGCGCGCCCGGGGCCGGCACCAGCATGCACCACGACCACAGGGCCAGGGCTGGCACCGGCACGTGCCGCGATCCTGGGGCCGGAGCCGCCCATGCGCCC